CACATGTACATGTGTTTGTGCAAGGGACAGTTACCATACTTGCACTACTTTTGCACTAGCTTTAGATGTCCTATGGTACAGTGGCCGACAGGTGCAAACAACGAAACAAGCTGTGTGAATAAAGCACCAAAACACACAAGCACATAAAAATGAAAACACCTAACGAAAAAGAATTTTGATGCAAACTTGTGAAAACATGCCGCAAATGTTGAAATGAGCTGCAAACACAAAAAAAAGCAAATGTAACAGAAAAAAGCTGCAAACAAAACAAATGCAAACAAGAAATTCTGCAACCAAAAACAAAATGATACAATGCAGAAAGAAAATGATCCAAATAGTAAAAACATTAGCAAACCAGCTCTAAGAAAACAGAAGTGCTACAGGGATTTGAACAACTTATATTACTATACATTACTATGCTTTTGTAAGATTATTATTAAACTCTCTTTTCTTCTTCCAACATTTTTTATTCTGTTAAAGCAAAACTTTCTGTTTGTAAGGAAAGTTTGGTCTGATATGGTTTGTTGTTTTTTCATCACCTCATAGTGGTATGGAGCATTTACGTTTTTCTTAGAACGCGTTTGCAGCTTTCTTTACTATTTGCATCCTTTTCGTTTTGTGATTACAGCATTTTGTTTGTGGGTGCAGCATTTTCTGCTTATCGTAGTTTTTTTCTGCTATTTTTTGTGGTTGCAGCATTCTTTGTCTTTACGTTTTTATGTTGCATTTGTTTTGTGCTTGTGTTTTTGGACTTTACATCACACATTTTTGCAACTTGTTTCATGGTTTACTGCACATTTGCACCTGTTAGCCAACGGACTATGAAGGTCTAATGAGATGCCCAGAGATGTCCGAACAAATACATAGTCTGGCCTTTCATTCTGCACCAACATGGTCAACAAGCTGGAAAGACTTCATATAAATGTGTATTTGCAAGAAAATAAAACAAATCATCTGCACCGGTAGTGGATATCTTTATGAAGTCCCTCCAATGTTAAAACGTTGACCTTTTTGCACGCCATGTAGATATCCATAGCAGATCATATAGTGTTAGTGTTTTGAACAGTATGACTCATACCAGATGAGTCTAGTCATGCTGGCATTATTTAGATATAATCTGTAATAACAAAAACTAGCTAACCAGCTAATTCTCTAACTACAACATTTATCTGCCCACAGAAAACTAAATAAATGAAGCAGATTAAACTTGCTATTTGTAAAGCAATGACTGCTGATGCTTTTCTAACACCCTGCCCTAGCGTGCCCCTGGTGGTGCAGCAGTACTACCTCTAGGTTGCACCTAAGCGCTTTTCTTAAAAGCTGTTGCTATACTAATCCTTTGCATTGTGACAAACTGAACACCTTGAATGAAGCGTATATATTATTCGGCCAATACGAGGGCACCTGTAGCACCAGCAGCCTCTTAAGTTTTTAATGATGCCTCGAAGATTGGTGCTTCTGTGTCTGTTGTAAAGAGAGGCAGGGGTTCCCAACCGTTTCAGCCTGTCAACCCAAAAATAACAGCGTCACAGACGTGCGACCCACTAAATATACATTTGATTATTTCACACTACATTGATATACATTTA